TTGGTGGTTCCTGGGGTTGCGGAACGAATGATTGACACCGAATTGTCTATTTTGTATCATTCGAGCTTTGTGTTAAGTGTGGTGTGACTTCTTTGTCTTGATACACTCTGCGAGTATGATCAACTTGGAATGTGTCTTTCACATATACCTTCTGATGCTCGTGTGAACCTTCCTGGAGTCTTCGACTGGGAGTGAGTGAGCACGTTTTTCGTCCCTGTTGTTTACTCTTGACTACAAGCTGCGAATTAGCGAAGAAGATGTTACGGAGTTCTTTGGCCATCATGGCCGGTGACTACTATCGAGATGGGAGTAGAGAGGGGAGGCGCCCCCGATCACCAGAGCGAGGTCGCCACGTGAGCAGAGAGGAGAGCCGCGAGCGTTATGGAGGTTCGAGGAGTAATAGCCGTGAAGATCGGAGGAATGACCCTCCACGCCGTGGTCCACCGGTTTGCTTCGGATGTCGAGTGGCCGGTCACTATCGAACCGACTGCTGGAAGTACTGGACTGATCCGGTGGCTCGGCGGCAAATGGAAGCAAATGGGTATACTTGCCCAGCTGAGTTTAATCGGAGGACAGGAGTCGCATCGCCACCGTGGGATCGGGCACAACACCCCCCAGTGGCTGAACCTGCCGCTGAAGTTCGACTCGAGGCGGGATCGGGCACAACACCCCCCAGTGGCTGAACCTGCCGCTGAAGTTCGACTCGAGGAACTCGGCAAGACAGTCGCATCTGTCCAGGAATTCGTTGAGATTGAGAAAGCTCGACGAATGGAGAGGGAGCAGCGCCGCCGCGAACGCGAGGAGGCTAGTTTGGCGGAAGAGGCAGCCAGAGCGGCGGAAGAGGCAGCCAGAGCAGCGGAAGCGGAGCACGCTTTTCGCAAAGTAGAGAAGCAGCGTAAACGCGAGGAGGAGCAGTTGGTGATGGCGAAAGCCGTCGAGGTCCAGCTCTCCGTGAGGTTGAGTGACATAAGGGAGGAGATTAGAACATAAGTTCATAAGGCGTTATCAAGTTCCGTAAAAACAGCGCCGATTACTAAGGGGAAAGAAAAGGTTGTCGAGATTGAAGATATCCCGTCAGCATCTGGTACATCTGGCGAAGTGGAGGCTATCACCGAAGGCGTAGGGAATCTGTCGATACAGGAGAAACGCAAGCGTGGGGAGGACACACCAGTGGGGGACAGCCCACCGGTGACAACACCAGCTAAGCGAGTGAGTAAGCGAGCGAGCATGCGGCCTGTGCGTCTTTTAGAACGCCTTCAACGTACACGTACGAAGATCGCTGTTCGACGGTCGATGAGAGGAACAACCTCCAAAGCGCTCACCGCTATGAAGCCTCCTGCTAGAGACTCTATGATGGAACGTTTGATGTTTCTCGATAGCACACGGAGGGAGCTATCGAAACTGGATTATGACACATTGCGGACATTCTGTCAGGAGGAGGGGGTTAGCTATGCCACGAAAGTGCAAGCTATTTTTGACCTCGCTGATAGGCGCGCACAATTGCGTTTTGGCGACCAATTACCGGAATTCGRCACTTTCGAGAATGCGGAAGAAGGTGTTGCGCAATCGGATCTTGACGACACAGACGAAGGAGCGCATGCCTGAACATGCTTCACCACGGATCAATGGGTCCTTATCTCCGATGTCATCATTTCATTCAGGCACTCAGCCGAAGAAGGTCTGGATTTGATCTATTGCCTTATTACTCTGCTGTTGGCTTTGCGCGGTCGCTTCCGATGGCTTACGAAATGAAATGTGTTGACTCCTGGGTCAAACTGTACTTACACTTTGGTCTTGATTTCCTTACGCAGCCGAACTGTGTGTACGTCGTTACCTCGATCCGTTGTAAGTCTCAGTATGTCGGTCAAACATCCCGGTCACCGTTGACTAGATGGAGAGAACACGTGTCTGTTTGTAAACGTAACACTAAGAACATGCACTTGTATCGTTGGTGGAAGTGTTTTGGCATGGAATCTTACTGCTTATTACCTGTGGAAATTGTAGCACCCACTGATTTGATCTTCGTGGAGTCCATGTTCATTCGTCAATGGACACCATTCTTGAACACGGCAGGTAAAAAGTTTGGCTCTAACAGTGGCGGTCGGCGGGGCAGGAGGGAACGGGCAAGACGAGCGGAGTCTGGGGTTATCGAAAGGGACAACAATCGGTCTATTAATCCGATTCGAGTCCGAGTCAGCAGTGACGACGAATGGTCGGTCAGTGTCTTTCAAATTCTCCGTAAACAGGACGAGATTGGCTGTCGATCTTTGTCTTTGTATATTGAAGGTGGAAACACCTGGTGTGATAAATGGAAGGGACTACGTAAGGCCTTTGGCTCGTCATGTGTCACGTATGAAGGAAAGACCGGTTGTCTAAGGGTGTTTAGAAAGGCATTTGAAGTTGAGGGTTCTATTGCTTTTCAATACCTGAGACGGTGGAGGGCACGAAGGAGTGTCAATAAACCTGTTTTGATCTCAATTTTGCGTAATCCTAAACGCCTGGACACGATTCGGAGATGGGACCTGGACTCGTTATCGAGTCTGTTCAATTCAGTGAAGGATTTTGAAAGGAAGAGCACACGCGCGTATTTGCGACGTTTGATTGGTCGTTGTGTGAAGGAGGGCTTTGGTTTCAATTTTTCTGCTCGCCTCGTATTTCGCCTCTTATTTGATGATCGTATCAAGCTTGTGGAAGTACGAAAATTGGTGAATGATAAGCTAGGAGAGTTGACTCTTCCACCTTGTGTAACCCGACGTGCACGAAGATCGCTCCGCATCATTTGGACTCGTAATCCAAGTGTTGCGGACCTAATCCACAACGATCGTGCTTTCACACGAATGAATGTGTCTCCCTGCGCTTGCGCAGGATTGCCGTACCCAAGGGTGCGAGGCCACGTGCGTGTCCGACTACGTGAGGTGGAGGGTATCTCGCCGCTGATGATGAACGCCAATAACGTTCCGAAGATTAATCACCGAGATAGAGGGAGGAAATTGGGCCAGGAGGTCAGCGAAGGCTTCTCCAACTGGGCCAACGTGAAGGGCAATTCTGTCCTTTGCTCCCCTGCGGAGTTGACCCGTTGCATGACGCAGGACGGGACGCAGCAGAATAATTTCTTGGATATGTGTGAGATCGTTGAAGTAAGAAGGAAATTTAGCGGGATGGTACTTACCCCTTTGGATCGTAATCCTGGAGAGACCCTAGTATTGTGTCCCTTTCTGTACTACGAAGGGATGATGACGTTGTTTGTGCGTAACGCTGGATATGTGCCTGTGATGAAGAGTGAGAGTCTAGTCGTGGATGAGATGAGATCGAAGCTAAGAGAGGAGGGGATCTTGGACTTCGCAAGATGGGACGAGAAGGGCTCCATTGTTCATGCATTTGCCATGCCCAAACATAAAGATTTGGAGCGATTCCGCCCTATCTGCCCTTCTTATTCGGAACCGACCACACGAACAAGTAAGGTTGTTGCTAAAGCTCTTAATTACCTTCTGGATTGCCTACCACAGGAATGGCACTTTAACCTTAAAGCTGTCTCAATGTTGAAGAAGAGGCTGGACGGGATTAACATGAAGCTGAGTCGTTCAGGCGTGGACCCAAATGTGGTAGCACAGTCCTTCGATATCAAGGACATGTTTAGCCTCTTACCGCATCACGGCATCATTGAGGCGGTCGACTGGCTTCTGGAGTTTCATGTCACGAAAGGAAGAGCTTTCGTTCGTGTGAATGTACGTGGGAAAGGTGCCAACTTCGGGGTCACAACAGGCTATGATCACTGGAGGAAAATCACTTTTGAAGATATCCGAAAATTTGTGAGATTCGAACTCGCTCACACTTACACTTACGCACTAGGGGTCCTGCTTCAACAGAAGATTGGGATACCCATGGGGAAGAGCACATCGCCCCCTCTCGCGTGCATCATGTGCGCACGCTCTGAGCATCTTTTTCTCCACAGCCTGGGGAAACAGCGTAGTGCAGTGTTTGGAGTTCGTCTTATCGACGATGTGAGTCTATTTGTTGCTGCTGAGAAGCTTAGAACCTCGGATGTGGCGGACGTTTTTTCAGGATTTTCCAATTGTTATCCAGATAACCTCACCTTAAAAAGAACCGATGACGGCACAGGAACCTGGGAGTTTCTGAGGTGTGAGGTGAGATGCAATCGTCATTTTCCTTTCGTAGAATGTGTGCAAATTTCGAAGAACGAAACATCGTTTTGGAAGGATGAGCGACTGACCTTTTTCAATGGGCAATCCTTTTTGTCGTGGGGCAGTAAGGTGCAGGAGAGTGCTGTCTTAGCTAGCCACCTACATCACATCGATCGCAATACATCCGCCAGGCACGAAATCCCGAGGAGGGTAGTATCATTGAAGAGGGAGTCGCGTTTGAAGGACATTCCCGGTGACTTCTTTCTTCGTGTCCTGAAACGATTTGCCCACGGGCGGGACGCCCAGTGGAAATTGGCGGTGGATTTGATGAGCCGTTGATAATTTGCCTGGTTAACCCACAGCGGCCGAACTCCTAAGCGAAAGGTGACAGGGTTTCTGTTGGTTGCCTTGGTGTTGTTGTAGTGACATGGCTTATTTTTTTGGGGGGTACGATACCCTTTGGTCCTTCTTGGCCTGGTGGTAGGATAGTTCGATAGAATGACTTCGGCCCCTTGAGCCCGGGTGTTTTGAGGGTTTGGATTTGGCTCATATTTTTTGTCGTTTTGTAGGGGCTGTCGGAGCCCAGGCCCTGTTGCTTTGTGTGGATTTGATTTTGGCTCTGAGACGAGGATTGTTACGGTCTTAGTATGTTTGCAGATCGGATTCGAACTACAGACTGCCATAGTACTCTTTGCCTTTGGTACTGTTTTTTAGAAGCTCTGACGGAYAGTGGATGTCAGACCGCTACCGAGAGTCAAGTACCGAACCACGTAGTACTTAAGCAAGGTCTGATTACGTAATAGTCCTCTTTCGGTGGACGGTCTATCGCGGTTGTTCCGCGAGGGACCGTAGCTTGCGGAATGGTTGGTGGTTCCTGGGGTTGCGGAACGAATGATTGACACCGAATTGTCTATTTTGTATCATTCGAGCTTTGTGTTACGTGTGGTGTGACTTCTTTGTCTTGATATACTCTGCGAATATGATCAACTTGGAATGTGTCTTTCACATATACCCTCTCAGGAGCAGCTCCTGCTTTACTACCAACAAAGCTTCATGCTAACCCCACGAATCCGACGAGAGCCGGAAAACCCGGTGAAGGGTGCTAATTATTGCCCCAATCTTCGCTCGCTTGCAAGAATAAGATGAGTAATCCTGAAAACAACCGAAGGCCAGTTCACCCGAAACCCAAAGCGCATTCTTAAGAAGCACGACTGTACGCCATCTCACCCCTATTCTAGTCACTTTTTTTTTTCTTTTTTTCTTTTTTTTGAAAAAACACACCCACCCCTGCAGTGCTAGTGGTGCTGACTGGGCCAGACACCACTAGCACCCGGGGGGAGGCTCCATCTATTGGTGGGGAGCATCACCTGCTGGAAAACGGGTCCAGCATCCCTTTACAGAATACATTGCCGAATTGATACAGACTGGATCAAGAGTATTCTAGTCACATTAATCCCAGCAAACGTCCAAGTTTCCCCCCCATCATCAGTTCGAATCAATCGCAAAGAACCACCATAACAGCTGAGAAATTTAAGCAAAATCTTAGCTTAGTTGACATACACCCATAGACTGTTGATGAAATGCAAAAAAAAAAAAAAAAAAAAAAGGCAGACCTGAGTTCGACCCCAGATGGGACCAAATGAACCAAATTCCCGAATTGCCGAGGGTCGGAATTGAGAGGCGGTTAACGGAGGCCTCAATTTTCAGACAACTTGGTTTTAACAAAACCCAAGGGTCATTTTAACCAAATTGCCACCAATTCATAGAGTGGAGGCCTCAGTTTTGGGCCCCGTTAGTCAGGACTCAGGAGCTGAAAAAAAGTGGGGGTCCCCGTTAACCACTTGTGGACGCAAGAATATCACAACGAAACGATTGATTGAAAAAGAGAATTCACCGCTCCGTCATTCCCAACCGTCAACCCCAAGAGCCACCTTCTTTCCCCGTACCGGACTTTGCGCTGATGGCCGAGCCGATTACCACAAGTAAGTGGTCCATTACCAACTGGATCATCCTATTAATACTGCAGGCTCCCTGATCCTCCGTGCTGACTACGTACGTCCCCACCCAGAACCCGTCAGTTCGGCAATCATATCTCAAGGCTGTCACCCTTTATCAAGTAAAGAAACAAAATAGGGAGGGGAAAACAAAAACACCGTGTCCTCCACAAGAGTAACGTCACATGATGTGCTACTTTTCTTTACATGAAATATGTCTTCTTTTCTTTCTCTTTTTTTTGCCGACTTACTGCTCATACCAAACTCGTACCCAGTAACGTCACATGATGTGCTACTTTTCGTTACATGAAATATGTCTTCTTTTCTTTCTCTTTTTTTTTGCTGACTTACTGCTCATACAAAACTCGTACCCACGTTTACAACAAAAAAAAGTAAAATATTTTTTGGGGTAAGACTGTACGTACGTTTATGTCACCTTTGAGTATCGAATGGGCAAAAAAAACACGTGTCGGCAAAGAAAACCGCACCGAACCGCGCCTTTGAGTATCGAATGGGCAAAAAAAACACGGGTCGGCAAAGAAACCGCACCGAGTTCGAAAAGGCAACGGAAGTACCGACGGCCGTGGTGTCAGACCAGGTGTCATATTTACAGGGGTCGGCCGTGGTGTCAGAGGGAAAAAAAAAAAAAAAAAAGCCCAATGGAAGTACCGATGGCCATGACGTCAGACCGGGTGTCATATTTACAGGGGTCGGCCGTGGTGTCAGACCGGGTGTCATTTCGAGTTGGCGCGTGGTTTCTTCGTCGGCGTGTTTTTTTTTTGCCTTTAGGGTTTCAAAACATGCCGCGTCCGCCATTATTTCATTTTTTTTTGGGGGGAAATGGAAAGAAAATGGAAGAAGTCTCCCAAATGAAGTCAATGAACACATCACTGTTACCACCCCGGGGGCCAAGTCCCACTAGCAGCGTTGAGCTACATCAACGCCCAAATCTGGACGTGTTTTGTGGAGACGTGCAGTTCAGGAAACTCAACACCATTTCTGCACATCTCCGAAAAAGCGTCCACATTCAGGCGTTGAGGTAGCTCAACACTGCTAGTGGGACTTGGCCCTGGGTCAAACGCCTTGTCTGCTTTTTTTTTTTTTTTTTTTTCTGTGACTGTACATAGCGGTTTGCAGACTTGTACGAAGCGTTCACAGGAAGTGTTCATAATTTCTGATAGTAGGGTAGCTTAGGCTATTATAGGATACCACGACAGATGCTAGAATACATTGTAGATTGGTGGAAGAGAAGATGAGAAGAAGGATTTGTGCCCGTTAGACAGTCGAGGCATGAGCTTTGCCTGGCCGGAGAGCCTCGCTCAGCTCAGAGCTGCGGCGACTTTTGTAAGGGGCGCCGGGCCCGCTTCCCAGCTTTGACGGTTAATAAAGATTGATCTTCTTCCAAAAAAAAAAACAAAAAACATTTACAAAAAGGCTGGCTGTTGCCTGGTAAGAATCGAAACACAATTTTGGGAGAACAGAAGAACATGAAAAAATATCCATCAGCGAAGGCAGAACTATTCCAATGCAAGAGAGAAAAACAGAGTGCTCATCTTTCCGTGAAATCAAATTCCATTATTCCACACACACACACACACACACACAC